AGGTGCCAGGAGAGCGGCCTGAGCGCCCCCCTCTGCCGCAGCCGAGGTGAAGCGCGTGGGGGACACGGTGCTGGGGATGGCCACCCAGTGCGTGCAGATGAAGAACGTGCAGCGGACCACGCCGCAGACGCTGTCCAACCTCTGCCTGAAGATCAACGTCAAGCTGGGGGGCGTGAACAACATCCTGCTGCCGCAGGGCAGGTGAGGCCCGGGCGGGGCGCGTGTGGCTGTCGCTGACAGATGCTGCAGCAGCTGGGGGGGCGCGGTCAAGTGGGAAGAATCGGAGTTTAGCATCTGGCGGGCGTGACCTTGGGCCCTGGCTCTGCGACCAGGGTCCATAACTGGCTCAGTGCGTGGACTGAAGGAGGGCCCGTGAGTGCAGGTGGCGAGCTCAGGTGGCAGGTCTGTGTGTGTTGAGTGGCTGCTGTGTGCCAGGGCTGGGCCACAGCAGTGAGCACAGGGACAGAGATGGCTCAGGAGGGCGAGGCCAGCATGGAGGGCACAGCTCTGGGCGCCTGGGAGCAGAGCCTTCTGACGGACAGGCAGGGCTGCGCCCGCAGGAGGGGACGGAGGGGCGCCCTTGGGCAGGAGGCTGCAGTTGGAGGTCCGAGAGTGAATGGGGTCTGTCTGACCTTGTTCCCAAAGCACAGTCAGCTCCTGGAACTGCAGGGCCCCGAGCTCCTGCCTCATCCCCAGAGGAGGGGGCGGGGTGGGGAGGGGGCACTCAGAGACCTGTTGGGTTTGGCTGAGAGGAGAGGAGATTCCGGGATGAGTCCAAGGTCCCGGGCGGTGGAGGTGGAGAGAGAAGGCAGCGTTGGTGGTGAGGAAGCCTGGAGGGCCCCCTGGGGGTGTGTGTGGGTGTCGGCCTCTGTCCGCCTCGAGGGGAGACGGTGGGTGGAGGGTGAGGTCTGGTGTCAGGGCTCCTGGTGTGGAGGTGGGACTTAAAGCCCCCCAGTGGAGGGTGCAGACAGGAGGGATGTGGGGTCTGGGGCTAAAGGTCATGGGGGTCAGGAGCTGGCAGTGGAGCCTGAGAAGGGAGGGGAGGGTCCTCCAAGGACCCCAAAGTGGTTTGTCCTGAGGCTGGACGGGTGGCGTGCAGGTCAGGCAGGTAGTTGGTGACCTTGCAAAGAGGAGTCTGGTTGCCGTGGCAACATGGGGAGGCTTTGCCGCAGGTGCTCCAGGCGAGCGAGCGAGGCTCGGAGCCGTGGGAGGAGCGTGGAGCCCAGCAGCAGGTTTGAGTCACGGCTGCAGTGGATGCTGTTGGGAATGGTCCAGAACTGGGGTGGGAGCAGCAGGCGGGGGCCCAGGGTGTGGGTGCAGGCAGGCGGGGGCTGGAGCCTGCGCTCCTCCCGCTGCTGCTCACAGCCTCGCCAGCGGTGGCGCTCGGCGTTA